ATGGGAATATGTATATCAAATACGCAATTTATGCATTTAAATATTTAAAAAAAATCAAGACAAATTTATTATTTGTTAGAATTTTATTATGTGCATCAATGTCTACATTTGTTTTGTTTTTATTTTTGTCTGTGAGATAATTTTTGAGTAGCCAAATTGCAATGTCTCACACCCAGACATTTGATTAAATAATCTATTATGTGTTAAATAAAAAAACTGCAGTTCAAAGTTTACAAACAGCAAAAACATATGACGAATAATTGCAAATAGCAAAAAAAAGTGATAAGAATTAAGTCGTATTTGGGTGTGACGTATTTACCTCATTGTACCCTGACTGAAATCACTCGTTTTTCACATAAATCTCTTAAGAAGACGTACACATAACTAAGTAACCCATATTAAATTAATAATTCGTACCAAAAATGTTTTATTTATAATCGAATTTTTAATATATTTTTTGTTCATTTATTACAACTGGTAAACACAGGGCGGGTTCAACAGAAGGCGGGTTCAAAGTCCATGTAAATAAAAATAAAGCGAATTTTAAAGATAACGAAAACAAAAGAGGTTAATAGAACTTCAAATTTATGTTTTGTAAGGTGACCATATGTCCTCTTTTTTAGAGGACAATCATCTATTTTAACTGGCTGTCATGTATAAAATGTATGTCATCTATTTGTGTAATATTTCATCTAAAATGTTTACATTGTTCATTATTTATTTTAGTAAACTAAAAATTATTTTTTTTTCTGTTGTTAAATTAAAAACATTTACAGTTTCGTAACACTATTGGTCGGTATCAGAATTTACAAGAGTAATTGAAGATTAAATTGAGTCAAAAGACGCTATAAATATAACAATATTGCATATGAAACTGTGAATATTTTTATTATATACTCCACCATAGTATGGAGGGTATATTCATTTTGTCATTCCGTTTGTAACTCATCGAAATATTCATTTCCGAACCTATAAAGTATATATATTCTTGATCAGGGTCAAATTCTAAGACGATCTAGCGATGTCCGTCCATCTGTCCGTGCGTCCGCCTGTCCGTCTCTTGTAATCACGCTATCTTCTGAAGGAATTGAGATAGGGTGCTGAAATTTTGCATAGTATTGTCTTTTGTCTGCAGGCAGGTCAACATCGAAGATGGGATATATCGGTCTACGTTTAAGCATAGCTCCCATAATTTTGGTATTTTGAGGTTCTTGAGCGCGTTTTTCAACCGAATTCGCTGAAATTTGGTACATTGAGTTGCTATTGGATACTAAATGCTTCCACAAAAAATTATGAGCATATGTCCACTTTTTCTGGTAGCCCGCATATAGCAATTCAGTATTTTGGGGTTTTGATCGTATTTTTCCACAAAATTGGCTGTAATTTAGTATTTTGAGCTCCTTATAGGTACCAAATCTTTCCACAATAAATTATGAATATACGCCCATTTTTTCGGATAGCCCCCATATAAGGGTACCTCCAATTTTCGATATTTTGGGTTTCTTAAGCGCGTTTTTCAACCGAATTCGCTGCAATTTGGTATTTTGTAGTCTTATATGGTAACAAATCACCCTACCAAAAATTTTTAATATTCGCCACCTTTTTGGGGTCGTCCCCAAATAACCCCCTTTTTATACCCTTCACCACACTGTGGTACAAGATATTAGGTCTTTGTGCATATGTTTGTAACAGGCAAAAGGAATCGAGATAGACACATGCTTCCTTTTGAGAATATGCATAGAATCACTTTCTGAGCCGATTTATGCATGTCCGTCCGTCTGTAGATGTTAAATTGTAAACAAAGTACAGGTCGCATTTATAATCCGATTTGGATGAATTTTGGCACATGTCACTTATTTGGCCCAAGGACGAACCCAAAAAATCGGTTCAGATTTAGATATAGCTCCTATATATCTTTGTCCGAAAGTACCTATATATCTCTCGATTTGCACGAAATTTGGCATAGAGTACTGAATTAGGTCCAGAATGATGTATGCGAAGTTTCGTGAAAATCGGTTCAGATTTTTAGGTAAATGGTGCAACAAAGTCCCTATATATCTCTCGATTTGCACAAAATTTGGCATATAGTACTGAATTAGGTCAAGAATGATGTGTGCTAATCGGTTCTGATTTAAATATAGCTCCCATATATAGTTTTGTCCGATTTTATGTAAATGGGGCAAGAAAGACCATATATATCTTTCGATTTGCACGAAATTTGGCATAGAGTACTGAATTAAGCCTAGAATGATGTGTGTTAAGTTTCATGAAAACGGTTCAGATTTAGATATAGCTCCTATATCTGACCAAATGAAAAATTTAGTATCGGTTGCAGAATGACATGTTTATGGATCCAATTTCATTTTAATGGTCCTTTAAGAATGTGACGTCTGTTTAGGATTCATCTGTGGAATATACACAAAGTGGTGAAGGGTATCATATCATATAGTCGGCCCCGTCCGACTTTACTACTTTCCTTACTGGTTTATATTAAAATAGTTATCTGATTTGCTCCGTGATTGGGTTTGGTTCTAAGACTCTGTTGTAATCATTTTATCTGCGGAAGATACGAAAAAAACTAGAACATAAGGTTTGATAATTAACCTTATATATATTCATATATATGAACAGTAACCCACTTTTAGGCCTAGCCCCTGTGTGGAGGAACCTTAAGGAGGTAACCGATATTCCCCATGTTCGAACTTGAACAAATTTTGGAAGTAATAATAAGATGGGCAAAGTTTGGATGAAATCAAAAAATTTTGAAACAAATTTGGTCCAAAGAAACATGGGGAGCTTTCATATTTTAGGAAAAATGCCTATTAAAATTGCTGAGATTTGTAATTTGTTTACATATCGAATTAGAATTATCGGTATATGCCCACTTTTTAGTATGTTACCTATATTTTCATTGCACGAATCAGTATACCTATGGTGGTTGGTATCCAAAGTTCGGCCCGGCCGAACTTAACTCTTTTTTCAGTTGTTTTAATTGACCCAAACATGTACTCATTTTAATCCCCTTGAAATTTTTGATTTCAGAGGTTGCGTTGGGTGGAAATCGACTTCGATTTTTTTGGATTTCTTGTTCATATTAGGGGAACATCGGGTAATGTGGACTATGCGTCTAATGTGAAAAACTTTCCTATATCTTTGAAAAATCACACTTTACAATGCACTGTTAGCATTTCTTACAATCCTCGAAACATTTATAAAACTAGTTTTTTGTAGCCACAGCATGCATTCGTCGGTGTTCAGTTCGGGAAGTGAAAAAACCAGCGGGCGGTATGTCGAGTGATACGGTAGTTGAGGCATCGTTTTTGGTCAAATACAGACGCACAAGTATTTTGAGGTAATATGGATCGTCGTTGACGATGTTCAATGGATGCAGTATATAGATGTTGTTGCAGGGATTACATCGTTTTTGGTGGAAGTGTTAAGGCGACGTTGTTTTGGTTAGTTGTTGTTGTTCTACAACACAAGTATATTCATTCATCATCATAATATTCAGGAATATGTGGTAATATCATAGATTGAAATGAATTTAGTACATTTATTACATTTTTTAACTGTCGAACGAACTAAAAATTCATCAAAATAAAATACAACAATTTTATATTTTATATATAGTATTTTTATTAATAAATTTACATATTAATACACATCTTTGTGAACCATTTCATATATATTACAATTCTGGGCAGTTCGAACTTATAGATATAATTAAGACTAATTACATACATACAACATATAACAAATATATAAAACATAAAGTAGACATGTTCAAACCCTTTTTTTATACAAACAAAAATTAATAGCAATTAATTATGTATTTGTTAAGTTTGTTTACATTTTAGCTAGAATAGGAAATATGATACAACAAAGCATGTACTTTAATAATATTTTTTTTATTAAAAATTGTTTAATAAAAAACCAATAATAATAAAACCACACAATAACATCAACATTCATCCCTGTATATTAGTGTGTGCCAGTATAGTGGTTTGGAATTGAATATGTGAGAATTGTAAAATTTAAAAAATCGATTGGAATTTTCGAAATTCTCGAGATGTCCATTGGAGCGGAGGCGATTATATACAATATTTACTCCAAGATAGTACAAAAATACACTACTACAATTATTTTGTCATGGCTAATATAGGAGGCACACCCTAATATTTAAACATACATGTACAATACTTCCTAGGAATTTAAACTGTAATGAAAATAGTCCGTGATTTAAAATAAGAAATACTAAGTTCTATAACGTTCCGATCAAACACAGAAATTTAACCTTCAGCTTTGCCATTTTCAATGAAACCCAGGATTTACTGTGTCTAATAATCGGAGCACTTGGAAATGTAATCGAAGTTCTATTGTCCCAAATAGTTTTGGTTTGTTATCAAATAAAACAGAAAAATTAAAAATTATTTGAAAATTATTGGACGGATTGGTATTTAAATCAAAGATTTGTAAACAAATATATGTATCTCTCACAATAACCAGTATAATTTTTTTAAATCGATTTCAATTGAATAGTACCCTAAGACCATTTTCAGTTTAAGCCACAAAACCCACAATTTACATAAAAATCAAAATAAAATATTGAAAATATTAAATCAAAATACATACAATTATCATATACATATTTACATAACTAGGTTACTTCCATCACAGATATATCTGAAGTTAACAGATAAATTACACACAAACTAGTTTTACTTGCAACCAGGTGTTGCATGTTGTTATTAAACGCCATCACTGACTGAAGGCCCTAATTTAAGTTTCTTTGAAAGAATTTAAAACTAATTTGTTGTTGTTTTTTGTTTTTGCCATACCATAAAATACAAAATTACATACAGACTATTTTTACATACACATGGACACGTATTTTATACAAGTCCTCTTTAGTTTTGAGCCTAATTCTTATCGCATAGTAAGTAAGTAACATAAGAATCAGTTTTCCTTTTTCTGTTTTGTTATTTTTTTTTTTTTGTCCTTTAAAAATTGCCAGCCTTTTCCATTAAATACCAAGGTAAAAATACGCTCACAGCCACCGCCGCTACACACGTTGCACACATAACCACTGTCGACGAGATATTACTCAAAGATATTCCACTCTCATGATGATCCATATCTTCGTGTGGATGTTTTTCGAATTCCAGAACTTCGACATCGAAACGAAAACGTATACGAGCACTGGGTGATTCTTTGCGCCATACCAAATGGCCGGATGATTCACGACGTTCTAAGCTCCATTTGGGATCGTGTATACCGCCAGCCATATCCATGGTTGAATTCGTTTGCGGGGAGGGTGACAGTTTAAATGTGGATTAATCTGCAAGAGGAAAAGAAAGAGTGCAAAGTCCAATTAGAAACAAGGCAAGCTTTTTGGCATGATGATAAACAAATTTAAAGCTAAACAAAATAAAACTAAAATATACATATCGGTCATTTGCTGCAAGAGAGGCATAACTCAAAAAACGTGATTTTCGAGTTAATGATGCACGATTGTTCGCTATAATAGACCTCATATTGTATAAAAAATTCATATAAATATCTCTTACACACTCTAATTGAGAAGCTGTAGAAGTTCGTCTGTCCCATTAAAAGTGTAAGTAAATTGAAAACTTAAAACGCATTTTCTACAAAATCGTGCTTTTTTGAGTTATGCCTGTCTTGCAGCAAATGAGCAATATGTACTCGTATTTGCGGTGCTATTCAATTGATTTTTATAATTTAAAATATGATTTTGTAATCTTTTTGATTAGGGAGGGAGGGAGTAAATATTAAATTTTACGCAAATGTCCTCAAGCATCAACAAAATATCTAGAATTTGCCATGTAATAATTGTGTCATACAAATGTTGACTATTCACTTGGTGCAATTTTGGCATAGACTTTCCAACTTCTCCGACGGTTTCTTACGAAAAAAAGCTTCAATGTTGTTTTTAATGCTTGTCTGTATAGATATGTGCTTTAACATAGCCTCAGTCTACAAGCGTTAAATTGCAAAATCTAGGGGGAATAACATCGTTAAAAAAATCACTAAACTTGCCATTACTTAGCACAATAATTCTCATTCACTTCGTACTACGATACAGATATATGTTTCTCTTTCCCATACCGAAGGGATCGACATCGGACATTGACGAACTACGAGTAACGAAAATGTGTGGCTCGTCCGCAGTCTAAGTTTTTGCTGAAAGTTAGCAACGTTTAGGCTAACTCCACGCTCCTTGCTAAGCTCCACGCTCATAGTCAGCTCCAGCTCGACAGATCCATTAGAACACCAACGACCCGACAATATCTAGCCGAGTACCTTTATACCGATTGTGGTTCGTCCGCAGTTTAGGTTACTGGTAAAAGTTAACAACGTTTAGGCCTCGCTCATAACACATGTCCAGTCGAACACCAATGACCCGACAACACTTAGCCCAGTACCTTCAAACCGATTGTAACCAGCCAGTAGCCATATTTAAATTAAAATAATACCCTGTACCACAGTGTGGTGAAGGGTATAAAGAGTGAAATTGTAATCACTCGTGTTTTTAATTAAGGTTTGTGGGTTCCTAGGTTGACCTGTGCAACGACTAAACTTAGATAAAACCACTCGTTATAATCTGTGACAATTTCTAGATGCATTGGTAGCTTTTGCAATGCTTCTGGCAGATCTTCAAACCAAAATCGACAATTGAGCAAAAAATTAGCTTTGACGCTGAACACAATTCTTTGATAAAAAAGTGGAGTCTATTTACCAAAAGTTCGGTTTTGCGGTAGGTCGTTCGTCTTCAACTCGTGCACCAGCTGCATTTTAAAAGGATTCAAACATAAATCCTACCGCAAAATTTTTCACGTTGTTCAGTAACAGAGGCCCAATTGCAGCGAACGCCGAATTAGATAGCAAACCAGAATCATTCCAGCCATAGTTTTATGGGTGGGTTTCCACCACATGCACCACAGAAAAGATGCTCGTGATCTACATAGTAATACAAACGAGAACCCTTAAGACAACAGACCTATCAATCACTTCTGAGTTGCTCCTGATCAACATAGATATCTAAACGAGAACCTTTAACTCAACAGACTTCTCAAGCAGTTTTGAGTAACATTCACGCTGAAGAAGTCGTCAGCGAGTGTTGCGTATTTGGTTACCTTCGCCCATCTATAGGTTAACAGTTTCTAGGTAAATGTGATTGGTTTTATACAATGAGATCTTATAAGGCAAAGACCTCTAGAATACTTAAAATTGGTCGATCTATCAGAAACTCCGAAATGACTCATAGGAGGGAAATGCAAAATGACTTATCTTAGTATCGAAAATGCCGCTAACATCTAAGTATGGACTACGGCAAAGCGTCAACCGATATATCCCTTGTTCAATTCTAAACAACCTAAGGTAAAATATGTTCGCGGGTAATTTGTTATAGAATTCTATGTTTTTACATCCTCCTGCCCAGTTCATGTTTTTTGCCTCATTTTCAATCGAGTTAGCTTTAATTTAGAAACCCGTGTACATGGTTTATGAAAAATTTATTTGTAGAAAATGTTCAATATATGTATTTATTCTGACGTTTAACGGACCGCACGGCTTCCAAACGATTTATGTATAAGTTGACATTTCGAGGATAAAATACCTCTTGTTTGAAAATGTATAATATTGTTTAATGTTTGGACGTAGTCCTCGAATTTTCCATCTATAATTTATTTTTAATTCCATATAATATCCAGTCCGATTTGAAGACCCACCTAATGGTGGAGAGTATAAAAAAAACGGTTTGGTCGAACTTGACTGCGATTTTATGTGTTTTTTTTACTTTTTTCAACAACAACGATTTTGTGGGCAACAATTTGTCACACAATAGTTCTTATATTTCCGATCAATAAATTACCAAACCAATTGAATAAAATTTGCGTTTATGCGGATATAAACAAGGTCTTGTGTATTTACGAAATATTACAGCATATATCCAGTAAAGAGCAATTACCAATGTAATTATTAAAATTAACCACGTTTCATTGATATTGTTTTTTTTTCGAAATCCAAAAACAAAAGAAACATACAAAAATGTGGCGTGACTAGAATTGCACGGTGATATAGGCTTATTTCCTCTTACAGCTAAACATTACACACATTATATTTTATACAAAAAAATATTGTAAGGAAAAAAGAAATGTCATAAGAGCAAAATTGCCAGCAATGGAAACCTTTAAACTTTTTAGTTCTTTTGCAATCAATTATGCCACCACTATTAGGATTTAAATTTCAAAACAAAAATCACTGCACACTCACGTCGCGATAGGGTTCTCTATATTATAACAATAATAATATTATAACAAATAATTTTAAGCCGGTTAAAACTTTTAGCTTTTTCGCCGCCAACCACACAAATCGGCGTGAACTTGAATATTGGCAAAATATTTGTTGTTCGAAATCAAACCAGAATAACCACAAAGGCTGTTGCCTTCAAATCAAAAACGAATTTGTTTATGAATTCAAGTGATGCATTCGAATTGGCCTGATGTTTTGTTTTTGGTTATAATTACTTTCAATGGCAACAAAGCGACAGCAAAAAAAAAAAAAAACAAGAAACAGAAAAATAAATACCAAAAAATACTTTACAAATTAAAGATGTATCAAATGGAGGCACGTATTAAATGTCTGCCACTAGTAAATGATTCATATAGTAATGCTGTCACCCTGATTGACGTTATGCAAAGAGTTAGGATATTTACTATGTAGTAGATTCTGCATCGGGGAGAAGGTAGTGACCCCAACTAAATAGATTGTTAATATTAATGACCACTATTTCTGAATTGTCACCTCGATTGACGTTATGCAAAGAGATAGGATATTTACTATGTAGTAGGTTCTGCATCGTGGAGAAGGTAGTGACCCCAACTAAATAGATTGTTAATATTAATGACCACTATTTCTGAATTGTTTTCATCATTAACAATCATCGCATATTAATTGAAAGCACGCGAGTATTAATGACCTTTCGAATGTCTTGAATAGGAATGGTTTATTTTCGGACATTGACGGCTCTAGCCTTTTCCATGTTACATTGTCCTTTTCTTTCAAATATTAAATTAAAAAAGAAAACAAATAAAATAATTAAATAAATGCAAGTAAAGATTGCAATCGGATGGATCTGTTTTAAATGCATTGGCAACAAAATTATTTTTTACACCCCGATGGTAATTACACTAAATTTCTATTTAAAAATATAAATGTTGATGCTGATTATCAATCGTTTATACACACTATGCTCTAGGGATATGGTAAAATTTGCCGACTCCTCAAGATAGATATTTAGTAAACAAGATAGACCCATAATTAAATCATGTCTTGAATGGAGTTTGTCAAGGAACTCTTGCCGATAACGCACCATTATAACATCGTTAAAAAATTGATTATCCGCCTTTACCTAAGGAGACTTTATCGAAACAACTGGCTCCATAGCACTATGGACAGGTTTCTGAGGCAATGACATGTTTCTGAGACAAAAAGTCTATTATTGAAGTCATATATTTGAATAAAATATAATGGAATTAGATTTACAACACTACATGGCCTATAAAATAAGGTCTAATGGGTGGCACCACATCATCATATACTGTGCCGTCAAAATTACCACAGTAAAAAATTACCACAGTAAAAATGTGAAAACACAATTTAAAGAAGAACTAATTTGTTTTGTTCGGAATTTAAACGCCATCAACACCGATCGTCATAACTTAACTAGCTGAATCGATCTATACATGAGTGTCCGTCTGTCCATTTTAATTTGTAAACACGATACAGGAAAAAGTTATGGACCATTCGCCATATGTAAAACGGGTTTCCATGTAGAGCGGATGTTTTGGTAATGCTCGATTAATACTAAGAGGATCAAATGTACCAAAAAAATTATTTTTGTCTGTTTTCCGTTCGCTCTAGAGGCCATAATTTTGACCCGAACAATATACAGAGAAAGGGGTCTGACCATAGAATAAGCAGGACTATTTTAATGAAAACCGGTCAATATTTAGCAGATTAAAGTGACCCAGGCTTTTGTGTGAAAAAATGAAAAAACATATACCTGAGAATTTTATATCCAATATTATATACTTAACCCATTCGAATGCTATAAAGAAATTACTATGATTGTTTTATATAAATTATCTTTTCAACATGGATTTTAATATAAATTATTTTAATGTATATATAGAATTTTGAGTTCCTAAATCTAGATCAGATCCGTATAGACTAATTTAAAACCGCACGATAGTCAAATTTTTAAATGAATTACAGCGCTAACTTTGTATGGGTAAAGATGTAGCACGGTTATTGATCTATGTAGGTAATAACTTTAAATATTTATACAAATTATACATATGGAAATTCTAGAGGGAGTAATAAATCAAGTTCAAAGATGGGACTTATCGTCACTCCCCACAAAATGTCAATTATGAACATTTGCAAATCCAATATCAAGCGTATGAACTGTCCGGTTTAATCCAAACAGAACACATCAAGTTCGAAGATAGAACCCATTGGCCCACTCCTTCTGGTACCTTTACCACAAAGTCCATCATCTCTAGTACTTCCTCCATAAACTGTCACAATTTGGAAAAATTATAAATTTAATAAAAACCAGTGAGCGGAGCAGTATAGTCGGACTGGGCCGACCATACGATACCCTACACAACTACCACGGAAATCAAATTTTCTGCGGATGTTTATTCCGAGCCTGGGCAATATTTCGTGATATTTCACCCTCTTGCCCGATTAGTGGTAAAAAGCTCCTCTTCCTCACACTGAAATATTTTCTAAATATTACGAGTATTCAGTACAGCTATTGTCCAGATTCCCTTCACCGTGGGTTGTGTTGTGATGTTCGGCTTTCATTTGTGCTCTATAGATCGACTCGAAAATAACACAAAAAAATAAGTTTTTGGTACACTTCATTCCAAAATTATTATATGATCATTACCGAAAATTATAGGCGTTGTCCTTGACCATAACTGGAACCTCATGGAACATTTCAAAGCGATCAGCGCTATAGTTCCGCTCTCTAGAGTGATAATGGGTTACTAAATAATATACGAATACGGAGATACCACATACAACAATATAATTGGTATTAATTGAAAGGTCAACCACTCCTCTTGGATATAATATCAACTTCTCGGGTCTATGTCCTTCAGGGGTAAATATATACGCTATAGAATACAAATTTTGTGATTTTTCACACAAAAGTCAGGGTTCATTTGACCCGCTAAATATTGACTGATCTTTATCAAAACAGGCATGCTTATTCTTTGGCCCGATCCCCTTCTCCATGCAAAATTTCACGATGTTCGGGCCATTATTGAGGCCCATGGAGCGATCATTTCATCCCCTAAATATTAACCGATCTTTCCCAAAAACAATAGGGGTTTTCATTGGCCAGAACCCATCCTACATGCAAAATTTCGTGAAAATTGATCCATAACTGTGGCCTGTATCGTGTTTACAAATTATAATGGACAGACGGACGGACGGACACATATGTTTAGATCGATTCAGCTAGTCGAGATATGACGATCGGTATACTTAAAGGTGGGTCTAGGACCAATATTTCGTGGCGTTACAAACTTTTGGGGCTGCGCAAAACTATTATACCCTGACAACATAGTTGTGTAGGGTATAAAAATGTTTCACCTCAATAGTAATTCACTAGACCTTCACAAACCATATATCTGCCGGCAACACCGACCGACACTTTTTAGTCGTTTGAAGAACAAAAAGTGGTCTGACCACCGATGCCTTATGAAAGATGATACTACGTTGATTGAGGAGATAAAAACTGATTCGAAAGAGAAGATGAATAATATCACAAACATTTTTATGCTTTATTGGGCGAAATAACACCCAATAATAAAAAAACAGTCCCTAACCTAAGGATATTATTTCTGAAGACATGATGTCCTTTCAGTTTTGAAGACATCACAAGTCTGTCTAACGTATTTGCTAAATTTAAAATTGTAACCACCATATGTTGAAATTACTCTTAAATTTGTCACTATGCAACAAATTGAAATAATTACCGGAAACCCATGAAATAGTCCATATATTTACCATCTGCCAGTGGAATCACGATGGAGCTCACAATATTTAAGGTATAACTTTTAAATGTTTATACCACAATGTCACATCCTGTACCACGTTTTGTTGTACCCCCCATTAAACGATACACTTCAATTTCCAGTATTTTAGGAGAATTTGGGTACGTTTTTCAACCACATTGATTGTAATTTGTCATTGTGGGTACTCATTGGCTAGCAAATCTTCCTATCAAAAATTATTATCATTGATTCACTTTTTAGGATAGCCTCTATATGTACCGTTATTACAAAATTCGGAATTTAGGGAAGGTTGGACTTTTTATTTAAACAAATTTGCTCTGATTTCAATTTTTTGAAACTTATAGTGTAAAAAATCCCCCTAGACAAATTACCAATATTGTCCCAAGTTTCAGGATTCTCAATAGGTTTTGGTACAGTTTTCCATATAAATATACCTCCGAATTGTTGATAACACTGTGCAACAAATTATTTATATTTTATTTTTTTGTTTGATAATTATCCGGAAACTTCAAAAAATTATGATAGAGGGGCTAAAAATAGAAGACACGTGTATCGGCAAATTTACGTCGGGAGGTAACCTAAAAAGTCGCACCAATATTTCCCATTTCTGGGACATTTAAAAATATACGCATTAAGAAATCCTAGCATTTTAGGTGTATGTCATTGGCAATATTACTGATATAAATGCGTTAACCCTCAGCCAACTCTCTGAAGGGGTCTGTCTTTTCGTTCCCCTTTTCACAAAATTATTAAAAACAAACGTTTTAAAAGGGTCAAAGTAAAAGTTATTATTTCCACTAATTTTGCTAAAATTTCGAAGAAAACTACAAGCAAACCTTTTACATTTGACAGGACCTCGATTATTTAGCTACGTCTTCGTTTTTATTTTCATACCATAGCATGTTTCATTATATTGATTTTTTCATTTATATATTTTGTTTTTAAATTTCCCCTTATAATTGCGGCAACTTTCTCTTCAGCTAACTTTCATACAATCGATTTAGCTATGATTAAATATTCACAAACATATTATTTACATGCGGACCCTTTCGTCTAGCAGCACATACTCTTTGCACTCTTGTGGTCAGCGTAACCAAAATGCCCAAAACAACTTCCTATTTACACGCGACTAACATGACTGACACTCTGATAAAGTTCAACAGCTGACCTTGTTCGTTGGTTCGCCAGGTTGTTTGCATTTGTACACGAAATGACCCAAGGTTTTTTGGCATTTTTACAAATATTCCACAAAAAAAAAAACAGCGACTTATTGGCTGCCACTGCCACTCGTTGAACTTAAGGGCCAGAAAGTCGATTGTATTGTAAACACCATAAGAACATTTGTATGCAAATAAATAAAACAAGTTTTGAATGTTTGTTTATTTTGCGGTTAAATAAAACTTAAGCGGGCCGAGAAAAAGTGAGTATTTTACTAGAAGTGTTAAGAAACGGGAATTCCCTGCCATAGGGGTGCCATTATGGGAATTAATGGGGAATAGGGAAATTAAAAACGTACGGTGGAAGAGTGTAAAGCATATGATATGATTGTCGCCACATAAATAACGCATATTTTTGAACATTGGGTGTGTGAACACAAGGGTGTAGTTAAATAAATAAAAAAACATTATTTCTCAACCTGCGATGGAGCATAAAACGTTGATATATTTTTACTCCCCAAGAAACCCGAGTGCCAAACGAGTGATATTAATTTCCCATTTGGCATTCCTATATTTACAAGCACATTTTATAATCCAAAGAATTTCTTATCTCTCAAATATTTACATAGAAAATACCCCGTAGAGCTTTACGGAAACATAGTAACAGACCAACTTGTAAATTAATATATAAATAGACACAGACACATATACTCATATAGGGCGTGTCGGAAATCATCCCATCTAGCAATGATACAGCATATTCGAATTGTGGAATACCTAAAAAAATTCTAATCATCCTCAATGTATGTCACATTTTTTGACGTCACGCCAGAAGAGTTGTGATTAAAAACGCGCAAGAGTTCATTTAACTGATAACATTTGTGAAATATTAATTTTAATTACGAAATTGGTAATAAAAAAACCTTCTAGACAGATCACCGGAAATAGGATCATTATTTTTGGCATGATTTAAATTTATATATCATCCACCATTAGGTGGAGAGCATATTATAGGCGTCGGGTTAGTAGCCCACACTCGGAAAACTCCTACCACTATACAAAAGTAACGAAAAAGAAAACCAAACCCGCCCTAATGTTGACGACCCCCGCAAACGTATTAAGGACCACGATCTGCGAATCTACAATTGGAATGTGCGCAAAACAGGCGCAGTTTTAGCTTTGGCGGATGTACTCAAGAAGTACCAAACCGATTTTATTGCCTTACAGGAAATGCAATGGAAAGGGCAGGCGTCAGTAAATCAGATGATTACGTTACTACAAACTGCAGAAAAGCAACACTCAGATACCAAAGTACACCATCAAGAAACCCATGGTACGATCAGAAGTGTCGTAATGCGACTGATGTGAAAAACGCAGTGTATAGGGCAACCCCGCAGACAGTACCAACACGTAATGCGATGGAGAATTATTGGGAGAAAAGAAGAGAGGAGAAACGTATTCTTAGAAAAAAGAAGATAGAACAAGAAAAACGCGAGCGTGAGCAACTCGAGATGTACAGGAGTCAGATCGAACTCCAGAAATTTTACCAACGAGTGAAACACTAACCGAAGGCTTTGGCGCAGGCACATCCTCCTGAGATGAAGATGGAAACCCGTGACAGATTTTTTTTTAATTCTATTTGGGTGTCGAACCTTCCTCCAAAAAAACATCGACATTTATCCACATTTTAGGGTAGCCCACTTTCTCCCAAATTTCGGTATTATTGACAGGTTATTGACAGGTTCCAATTGTATTTGCTCTGATTTTATATTTTTCATTATTGTTGTGTGACAAATCTTCCTACCAAAAATTAACAATATAGATCCTTTTCTTAGAATAGGACCCATATAAATATACCTTCTCAATGTTGATATTTTGGGTATTTTGAGCACGTTTCTTCAGCATATATGTTTTAATTTGGGTTGGCATTGCGTAACACATCTGCCAACCTATCAATACTAGTCCACTTTTTAGAATAGCCTTTATATATTGAGGAGTTTGGCTACGGGTTTGATTATCATTGCCTAGAAGTTTGTTCTACCAAAATCTATCAATATTGACCTAGGTTTAGGGCAGAACCCAAGTTTTCAATGCGTGTCAAATTTTCCTACTAAAAATTATAAATGTCGGTACACGTTTTCTTTATTTGAAGGCCCTATATTTAATGTTCTATTGTCACCAATTTAACATACCAAAGACACCATATCGGCTTTAGGTACTTTGAATGTCCACCTCATGGTCCGGCGCCGAACTTAACGAGGTATTAATAATGTATCAGAAAATACACAAAAATTTTTTATCTACGGATCCCAATTAGAAAATATAAAATACCATACACAACTGAGTGGTAAAAATATGATCCTAAAACCAAGATTTATCACACAGATTGATTTCTCCCTGGATTCTGGGTCCATCGGAAACTATCTTTCTCCATCTTTGATATGAGCTATTGCATAACATATTATACCAATAAATGTCAAATTATAGACCCTTCCCCCTCATAGATCACATATAAATGTGCGGGTCGATGTTCTTAGTCCTTCAAAAACATATTTGTAGAAACGTTTCAGGTTCTTGGTGGGTGCACAACTTCTTCGTAGTGAAGGTGGCTGTAATTTGACATTTCAGGTTCTTGGTGGGTGCACAACTTCTTCGTAGTGAAGGTCATCTTCAAAGTTTTAGCCGAAGTTTCTAACTTAAGTGCCAATAATTTGGTATTTAGATCTGGCAGACAATTTATGAGAATGGCAACTCATTTAAGTTATTTTGATGGTCCATCCATGGTGGAGACCTTAAAATTGTGTTTTCCAAAACCAAAATCTGAGAATGTTCTTTCTAAAATATAGTGTTTTCGCCCTTATCAATTAACACTTAAAATCATCATTTTCTAAAACATCACCTCATGACGCCATTTACAAATAGTACATCACGTCAGAATGCGAATTTCATGGGCACATACTATATTCTACAAAAAAAAAACAACAAAAATATGGCACGAGGTGACATTCATTCATGCGATTTCTCCTCTTATCGCACAATTCAAGATAGAGTTGTGGTCGTACGAACAAAAATCTGAAGAATACCAAAACAAAAAGTACGCTGTTAGATTTCATCAAGCACGCTTAGAGTGTTAACGATTAGGCCGCACAACGCACTTGAAAATTGAATAATAAAAACAAACCTCCATGGGGGTATTATGTTACGATTTCAATGTACAAAACATTAAAAACATATTTGTTTTCAATGTTGTTGTTTTATTTTTTTTTCTATAAATAACCACATGGTTTATATACTTCCCACGATTTTCAACCACAAGGTGGAGGGTATATTAAAAAATGAAATATTCGTCGGAATAAAATTCTATGTTGAAACCATGTGAGTTCAATATATGGCATATAACGGCACTATAATTTTTTAATAATTGAAAGGTTTTAGTAGAATTTTCCAACCAAAGTGGCTACCCCGGGTAGGGGTACATTCGACTTTGACTTTTTAACAAAAAAATTTTTATTAATACTAACTTATTATATGTTTTTGACACTAGTCTTTATAATTAAGTATCAGACGACAATAACCAGCCATAATTTTTTTATATCTGTTGAATAAGAACTGAGATATAGAGCTCTAAAAAATGTGCCGGCACATTCAGTCTCCCCTACTATATATACATATTCTATGTGAAAACAGGTTACGGCATATCATAAGTATACATATTGGTATTCTATAACAATATCTCCTAATCTTTTATAACAACAAACTATTTTTGGTGGAAAAAATTTTTAGTCACCTGTTGAGATAAAATAATATTACATATTATTATTGGCTGGTTATTTTCTATTTATCTTATTTTCCATAATCACGATAAAATTGTTAATATAAACAATTTATTTCTACTCTCACAGCCATTATTAAGTAATAACACTAGAGACCTGTCTGTAATTTTCACACTATGACAATATGCAAATTTAATATGTATACTTACA